GCTCTCCAAACCCTTGTACAGCACACTTCCTACTGATGAGATTCCCACTGGCATATCCACTCTGTAGCAGCCTTGTAAATTGCACAGGAGTCAGCAGAAATCAGTGGCACCATTCTCTGCCACCAACACGAGGGCACCTAACTCCCTCACTTGCGCACTACCTTCCTCCTCTATGATCATTTTACCAGCACCAACTGACAAAACTAATGCTTTATATTGCCATTTTAATCCCACTCAACAGGCAGATGCATCAGTAAACCATACTCCTTGTGTATCTGAATCTGCAAACAGTTCAGGTACCTCCTTGATTGGGGAAGGTTTATAAGGTTGGTCTAACAAGACCAAATCTGGACTTACAGGCTGTCGGAGTTTAGAAATTTTAACTGGACTCTCTCAATTGCAGTAACCTATTCCCTCTAAATAAGCATACCACTTACATACTGTGGCCTTCTGGGCAATCCTCTTGAAAGGAGGTGTTTCCTTAAGAATTTAACTTAAAAAATGGCCCTGTACTACAGTATTCTACACAGTACCTAACTTCTCTGCTTCCTTAACTGCCTAGTGAGAGGATTCCCTTCTCCCACTCTAAATATTGCTGTTCATTTTCTTTAAATGAGGTAGAAAGTAACAAAGGTCTAGCTGGTCTCCATGGTCCCTTCTGAAATATACCACAATAAGAGGCATGTTCAGCAAATCCCCACTCCACCCTCAATGGATCCTGTGGGTACAAAGGCCCCAAACTCTGATAGGTCTTAAGTTTATCCTTCAAAATATTCAAGGCTTCTGTTCGCTGTATGTAACCAACACATTGGTGTTAGACTATTTTTTCCAAAGCAGATCATATAAGGGACAAGCAATCACTTAAAAGCCCTGGTATATGCTTTCTTCAATAACCCAATGTCCCTAGCAACTGCTATAATTCTGCCTTATTACCTGGAATTTGCTCCTTTTCAATAACTAGTAAAGTATCACCAGAGACCACAGCTACTCCAGCCACCCACCACCTAGAAATTTAATCTCTTGCCCATAACCCTGACATTTGGAGGGTAGAATATCTAGCCCATTCTTAGTTAACAGATCCCAAATGTTTTCAGACACTTGTCCTACCTGTTCTTTAGTATCTCCACCAACCAAGATGTCAGATATCTATATACTGAGATATATATGGAAATCACTTCCACTGCATCGAGAAGTTTGGCCAAAACATGAGCAATAGTAGGGGAATGTTTATATCCTTGTGGGAGTTGATTAAAAGGTATATTGTGTCCCTTCCTAGGTAAAGGCAAACTGAGGTTTATCCTCATCCCTCAGGGGAATCATAAAAAACACATCTTTAACATATAAAGCAGCCATCCATGGATGAGCAGCTGCCTGTATTGATGATATTGATGTCATATTCAGGACAGCAGCTGTTAAAGGTGGGGTGTTACTATTTAATCTTCAGTAATCAATTGTTAGCTGCCATCTTCCATCTGGTTTACAGACTGGCCAAACTGGAGAATTAAGGAGAATGTGTACTACTTATGTCCCTTCTCAAGATCATTAATTACCTCTAAAATACTGTTTAGCAACTGTTGGCAACTGATATTGAGACACACAGGTTACCTTAGATTGTGGTAATAAAGGAGCAGCCTGCAAAATTCTTATGTGAGTCACCCTTGTCCCCCTACCTCCAAAACTCCACACTCTGCCATGCAGTAAACACTATTGTTTACCTGCCAACACAAACCCTTATAATGGCTTAAAACCACATCCACAGCTATCATCCTCTTTTTCCCCTGATGACTCTCTCAGTTCCCCTCCCGATGTCACAAAAGGGTTAAGTTTCCCTTCCTGAGGAAGTAGTTATCGGCATTTTCCTTTATTCTCGGGTTTTCCCCTCCATCAATTCCACCAATTTCCGAATGCTGTCAGTGGACTGTCCATGTAACATTGCTCGGGGTGCCTCCAATGCCAGCGCCTTCCTCCAAAGATCATCCCTTCCCAAATCGCAAGGTCGACTCGACCCATCCCGGGGCGGTTCAGGCTCCCTGCCAGGAGGCTGCTCGGGGTGGAGTTTCCGACTAATTTGCCGAAACCTCCGATTTCCGCCCACGCCACCACGCGTGTCAGTCCGTCCCGTCTCACACACACCCCACACCCCACCCCACCCTCCAGCAACCAGATCACGTAACGCTTCCGTCCACATTAACACGTGCAAGAGGGATCGGAGGGTTTCGCGGGTTACGTTCAATAGCCCTTTGCACCCTTTCCCTGAGGAAATGGGCATGTATCTTTAAAACACCCAGGAGTCCTCCAAAAAGAGGTCTCAGGTGGTGGCTGGGGTCCCACCGGCGCGGCAACCGGTATTCCGCACCGCCCCCTCAATACAAGCAGCCTTTCGCCACCCCTCCGACAATCCCTTCACCTTTAGAGTAACGGGTTCCCCCCTCTCCTTAGTGTCCACACCCCCGGCCCGGTTAAGCCACTCGAGATCTTAACGACTGGTTACCCGCTGGCCCACCGCTTAACACTCCGGGATCCCCAAACCCTCCCACCTCGTCGTCACTCAACAGAATTCAATCCCCACCCCCCACCCCCCCCCCCCGTTAAAGAAACCCTCCACAAATACTCGGTTTCTGTTTCACCCGGTTTACGCGAAAACTTAACCCGAAGTTCACTAAACTCAGGTCCTGTCCAGGGGGTCGTACGGACGGTGGTTCGGGGATTCCTGCCTTGTGGACCCATATGTCTTTCCGTTTTAATGAGGGGTCGCACATTTCGCTCCTCCAACTCCTCTCTTTCCTCCAAACTTCTTTCATCAGACTCTCCCCAGGTGTCCCCATCCCACTCCTCAAGATCTACACTTGTAATCAACTTTCGAATTTAGGCAATACTGGGGGATTTTATTGCTCGTGAAAACATAATTTCAATTTTTTTGTTCCAATAACCACCTCCTCTCTTTCTCGTAAGGATTCTTCCCTCAGAAAATCAATTTCCAATCGTTTATTTAAATTCACTTTCTTCATCACTACAAAATAATCCTGCACCTGAATCAAACAGACGCCTAAAAAGGCGCACATATCTCCTTCATTTCCGCGGCTCTGTTCCAGCTTTCTCACAACTGCCACTGGATCAAACAGCTTCTCCTTCGCCCACTGTACACCTGAGGGAGAAGGGACACAGCCATGCCTCTGCAGGAACTCCTCTATCGACACCCTGCCAACCACGCTAGTTAAAATGCCGGGGAAACTCTCAAATAAACAAATAACATTTAAAATGAAGTTTTATTTCTCGGCATAAATCACCAGCACTCCGCAAACCACAAACAGCAGGTTCACACGTCCGAGAGAGGAGAACAAAACTATCACCACACGACCTCCTAGGGCTTAACGACAACCCAAATCACTCACATAAAAATAAATAAATAGGAATCTCAACCTTGAGGAACTTCTTAGGGCAGGGTCCCAACCCGTAAGAGCATCAAGAAGCTTCCTTGGGCAGTGTCCCAACCCCACGGGAGAACCCTTACCTGCAATACCCTGCTCCAGGAGGGACTAGCTCAAAATGGCGCCCTTAGGGGACAACCCCCCCCCCCCCCCCCCCCCCCATTTATACCCAAGCGGGACCTGACCTGTGGCCAATGCCAGCCCCTATTGGCTGAGGGCTCCAACTGCCGTAACGGCCTGAGAGCGAGAGCACGGGGACGGCCCAACAGCCGGGAAACAACGCAGCAGGTGATGGAAAAAAAAAAACCAAACCAAAACAAAAAACAAAACAACAAACAAGCACCTTTTTTTCATTGCCTGGGAAGTTGAAGAATCGTGTAACTCTGGGAAAAGCCAATGCAAAGTGGCTGTGAGATATGAGTATTTTAAGTCAGCAGACTTTGGAATGGCTTTGTGACAACAAGAGAGGGTGCTTCGAATAGAAACATTTGAGATACTTGAAATATGCTTGTTAGGTACTCTAGTCAGAGTTCACAGAGTGCCCAGTGTCCTCCAGCCCCTTCCAGAACTTCAAGGACTGAATTTCATGTCAGTGCAGATTACCAGGCACTCTGGGGATTTTGTGGCGTTGTCAGAGAAAGGAGGACTACACTGTGAGTGCCATCAAGGATTAGTATGTGAATATAGCTGAGCGTTTCAACAACTGGGGCTCTTTAAATTAATTTTTCAAATAGCTAGGTGTTAGCTACATTTCCACTAGTTCTTGCCACATGGGAGTTACTATGTGGCATCAGATATCCCAAAACAAAGCAAAGGTGCTTCTAGCTCCTGCAGTGTGGAACACAGCTGCACTGCACCAAACATGCTGCAGTGAATTTGTGCTTGGACAGTGGGAGTGCACAGAGATTTAGGAGAGCCACTCAATGTCTTAAGTGCTTTCCCACTCCCCCTGAAGCTTTCAAGGTCCTTTCAGCATTCAGTTTTAATGCTAAGTAGCACAAGAAGATACATTACTAGATCTCATAGATGGTCAAACTGATAAAACTTCCACAAAAGTCACATGGAAGTAGGTAACCAGGAACAGGAATTTGGCAGTACAACAGGGCAAATTCATAAAGCTATGAATTTTGGATGTTCTGCTGGAAAACTAAGGCCATCTTTACAGGCTTCTGGGCTATTCCTAGAGAGACCAGAGTTATTCACTACTTTAATATATGTCCCAAAAGACCAAAGTGACATTTAAAGTCACTCAGATTACTCTTATATTTTTTCTTTCTGCTATTTCCTCAAACTCTCAATTTCCAGTATAGTGAAGGAAAGTAATAAAAGAGAATAATGACCATGGAGTAAATGACTGAAAAGTCATGTTGCTAGTTTCTGCATTTCCATATGCATATCTGTGGCTCACCTGTAAAACGGCTCTCAAGTACTGCTGTCATTTGCGGCAGCAGCAGCATAGAGCATATACCCACATACAGGAAATACAAAGGGAGTAGTTCAGAGATCAGTTTGTGCCCATTGCCCCTTCAATCCTTCATTGCCTGCCCACTGCCTTGGTAGTCTGCCTGCTACTAACTCCTCTGGTTTTTGAGCTCCCAGATAAAAAGGTGCTAACTGTAGTCACATTTGGACTCCATGTTATGACGCAACCACATTCTCACCCTCTGCCATGGTGTCTGCAGGAGAGAAAGCCAGCATGGAAGAGCATTGTGGAACTTCCTGGCCATGCTGCAATCTCAATGTCTGCAGAATAGGGCCCAAAGGTTACCTTGCAGCCACAGCAAATTGTAGCTAGTTATCAGAGGAGTTATTTTCAAGAACAGGTACTTTTATAGGACCATGTTATCCATCATGAGGGTTATATACTTGAAAATAAGTACATTTCCTTACGTTTCCTAAGTTTGTAAAATTTGGTCTTGAAATAAAACCATCTTGTGATTTTTTTTTTTTTTAACTGTTCTTGAGGTATATTGATTATGCTCCTGTCGGGAACTTCTATTTAAATAGATGGATGTCTAGAAGATGGTATGTAACCAACACATTGGTCTTAGACTTACTTGTGCCTCTGCAGTTTGTGAAGTACAGTTTTTTTTCCAGTAAATTTTGGATTTTGCCTCAGGATTTTGAGAGGCACATTGATCACTGAACTCAAATATGAATGCATTTCTTATATTGCCTTGCATAAGAATGTGGTTTTTATTAATGGCATCTAAGCATATGTTTATTTTCCTCTGTGATCACTTCAGCTACATTAGCAGCAAGCTGAAGCATGTATTTCTCATCCTTGGCTCTTCTCTAGAAGTTCACAACATACAGCTGGTTTCCCCCATTCACAGATTACTGTTGACTATTGGTGTGTTCAGAACATCTGACCATGTGGAAACAAGACAGGGGGGAGCATGTCACTTTCTTACAATACTGGAGGCAACTAAAAATCTCTCCACAAAATATTTAAGTTCATTATTAGAGAAAGAGACTGTCACACTATTTTATCACAGTGGACACTGAAAATGAGCCTTCTTGGTGATAAACGTGCTTAATAGACAGTCTCTCCTAGCACAAGAAACAATTTGTTGCTATGAATGTCATATTTGGATCTAATAAAAGATGGTGCCAACTGCTACTAAAAGAATGATCTTGAGGACACACACAATTCAGTAAATCGAACTGCATTGCCTGAAAGTTGGCTAGTGGTCTCAGGTGCGTAACTCTGAAACATGGAGTCTAGATTGTTTCTAGCTCAGGTTTTAACCAATGCTTTATTTAAAGAAATGAATAAGCACATTTGAGACTTATAGTTCTCTGTAGAAGGAGAAAAAAGTATTACCGATATCTTATTTCCACTGATGCATGGTGTTATCTAAGAGCTTCCCAGCTAATTTTTGCTATGTAGGACCACTCTTTATACTTAGCTTTTTGATAATTTCCTTTACATTTTCTAGACTAATTGATACATCAATGAAAAAAGGGCATTTGCTGGCTCACCCCATCTGTCTGGATACTAATTTGCTGTATTCAGTGTGGCGAACTGTACATTTAAATTTACTCTGTCTCAACAACTGCCAGCTTTTCAAAAATCTCACTTTAGAGTATTTTGCAATTTCTTCTTATTTCCTTGTCTTCATTTTGTGTTTGTCCTTAATTCTTTAGTACTACTTCTTATCTTTACTTTTGCTCAGAAGAGTTAATGTTTCATAGAGTGAAAAAATACCTCAAGTTGGAAGGGACTCATAAGGAGTGCTTTACTTAGCACTGTCAGTTGCTTTTTGATGGAGTGTCTTGTTTTGGGAAAGCCTTGAGTTATGTCTTGGGTGCCCTCAGCAGCCATATTTCTACATCATGCTGATATTTGTGTATAGTGAAAGTATTGTAGCAATCAGAGTGCCATGGAGGCTGCTCACTAGATACCTAGTGCTTTCTAAGCACCCATAAAATGGCACCTGGGTGTTACTTGTACAGGCTCCAGTTGTGGCTTGAAAGCCCGTTAAGTTAGTCACTAGGCAGGCATAGATGAGACATCCATTCTCTTCTGCAGACAGGTGATGACTGCAGGGTGAGCATTCACTCTTTGTGACACTGATAGACCTTGCTGCACAAGCTTTGAATAATATTACCTCCTTTCAAGGGCAGGCATATTTGCATGTGCAAGCATTGCAGTTGATCTAATGTAAACAGGAGCAACAAACAGGCTTGGATGGAACCCTTTAGAGAGATATATGTGAATGAGTGCCCAACCTTGCTGTTTTAAGCCAAAGTCATTCCTATAATTCAGGTGAAAAAGGAAAATCTCTGAAGTAGAGGAAAGTTGCACTTAAACTCTTTCCTTATGCCTTGCGGTAAATATTCATGAGCTTTTTACATGGACATTATATTTCAGCTAAAGCCTGGAGTCAGAAGTAGGTGAAGTTTTTCTATGAATACTGAGTAAAAGAGAGAAAAAGGTAAGGATGAAAATCAACATCTGTTATACATAGTAAAAAGATCTCACATGAAGGATTTAAAATGTCTGAATGATTTATCTGGAAGACTGCATCCAGAAAATGCCCTGCAGTCCAATTCCTTCTTTCTCTGGGCAGGTCATTTGTCCTCATGGGTAAATTACTGTTTCAGCTTCTACAGTTCTTGTAAGTTGCTCTGGGGCTTTAGTATGTGTCAGGGATTGACTTTTAGATGCCCATATTCTCTTTTCTGTGGGACTATGGGTCAATTCCCTAGCATAGCAGAACCTTTGTTCCCCACAGATATGCTGCCCAGGTTTGAAGATGTGTAGTAGAAGGAAAGCAAGAGAGCTTGGCAGGAGAGATGGCCTGATACATCCTGCCTCCTCTTGTTTAATCATAGTGCATAGATCAGACTGGCACCATTGCTCCTACCTGGGTTGCCCTTCACACAGGTCCCAAGAGGATATCAGGGGAGAATCAAGTCTCAAAGAGTGGCATATAACCCTAAAAAAGACAGTGTGGCATAGTATCCAGGATGCTTTTGAGAGGGTTTGGCTACTAAGGAGATCTCCCAATCATTTTCATTAGGTGGATGGATGCTTTTAGGCTATTTCACTCAGTGGTGGTACTGCTCTTTGTTGGACTGAACTAATATGGTGACTTTTCTCTGTCAAGATACATCAGGTTCAGACACAACTTTAACTGTCATTCATAAATTCATGTCATTCATAAATAAGACGTGTTCAGGGAAAATTCCAGCTCCCATTGTAAAAAAGTAATTTATTTTTCTTATAAAAACTTTTTGCTTTCCCCCACCACCCTCAACCCCTCACATCCCCCCCAGCCCCCAAGATGATATATTTAGCTAAAGAAGAAAATACTTTGTTGTCAGGCCAGTTTTCATGCAGGTATCTCATGCCCTGAGAATTCTTTGGGGGCCATACAGTTATGCTGGGTTGCATATCCCATCATACAGTGTATCTACAATATTCTGCCATTCTGTAAATAGAGAAGGTGAAATTTCTTTTATTGAATACAGCATCTTAGTGCAGATTCAACGCAGTCCTCAACTTTTCCAGCCTTAAATGATAGTTCATTAATTTCTAGAAGCTCCTGAGATTGGAAACAGACAGGAAACTTAATCAGGTTCTGTATTTCTTTTCCTCTATGTCCTCCTCTCCCTTCTCTCCCCTTCTCCCGCATGCTCATTTGAAGCAGATCTCTGCTGTGTGGGAGCAGTGAGCTGACTTCCCACCAGTCTGATATAAGTGGTTTGGTAGACAGGTGTCTCCAAGCTCCCTCAGCTTTGATGGTTTTCCAGGGTAGCTCTGCAGGGCTCCTTTGCACTGAGTGATGATATCCACCTTCCCTGCACTTGTCGGGGGTCCCTCCAAAGCACCACTCACTGACTGTGATGGTAAGCAGTTTTAAAACGTCACTGTCTCTATCATGAGGAACACCAGTGCTCTGAGATCTTCCCCAGCCTTTGTGCTTCAATGTGTAAATTAGGCAACAGTATCTAAAAATACTGCCTTAAAATAAGCCATTTTTATTCTGATGCTCCTGTGAATCAAACAGGGCTTTATTCCATATGGCAGTGGAGACAATTACCCTGTGTAGTACTTATTGTTGACATCTCTCTGACCTTTGCTGCCCCCGATGAATTTTCTCTCAATCACCTCTCCTTACCTCTTACTAGTTATTTCTCTTCAAACAAATCAGTTCTCTGATGCTGCCTTGCTTTGACTTTCATGAGACAGTAGGCTGAAGTAACACTTGAGAAAAATAGGGAGAGAAAGGAGGAGATGCTGTATTTTCTGCTAGTCACCACTTCAGTCAGAAATTTGGCATCTAGGAAGTGTCATGTGTTGTCAGTGACGAGTGTGGAAAGTACATTTTTAAATTGATTAGCTTTTAGTGTGATTCACCCCTCCCTTCTTTCAAAAGAGATTGACATCCTCCGTTTGACTTTCTAAGGCATTTTGCTCATGTGGATTTCTGTTTTTACATCCCTCTTCTGCACAAATTCACCACTGCTCACACACACATAAAACAGCCCATTAATTTTAGTGCTGCTATTCACTTTGGTGGTGTTAGGATCCTATCAGAACTGGTTAGAAACCCATGCTTTACAGGGCTCCTACTGCTGTAGTGAAGTTCAGAGACATAGATGGCAAAGAGAACAGCAAATTTTTTAAAAGGGGTACTTCGCACATGTCTGTGTTCAGATCGTGGAAAAAGAATCCTGAAAAACTGGAAATGTTGCTTTACTATTCCCATAATTTAACAGTGGGATGTGCTGAATCTGCAGAAATGTTTATATTTGGGCGAGACAAGCATGAAGTGTTGTGAATTTGGATAATCAGCTAGATACTGCCTCTGTTATTTCATTTAGATGTAGCTTGTCATGCATAACCACCTATTTTAATAATTGCAGAGGAGTAGCTAAACTGCAAGCCAAGCAGGCTGCCTTGCTGTTTCTTCCAGTATTACCACAGGAATTAGCAGACACTCAGTGCTTCTGGCTTAGCTGTTCTCCAAATGCTGTTGTTAAATGCAGCACTACAGAGATTTGAAATCAGGTACTGGTAACAGAAAAGGAGAGATGTAATGGCTGAGCCTCCCTGCACCCCTGGATTTCAGTCAGTACTGTATACTGCTGAATAGTACATGTTCTCCATAGCTTAGGGGAGAAATGGCTTCATCACTGCTCTGTATTTGTGGGGCATCTTGAACTCTGAAAGAGGTATTCTTTAGGAGAAAATTTGTTTTCACAAAGTCCCTTTTTTTTTTTTTTTTTTTTTTTTTTTTTTTTTTTTTTGTGGCAAAGAGAAGCTGTTTTGTGCTAAAAACTATGTGTTTCTCTCCATCCATCCTCCCAGGGTGATGTTCTCCTTCACTTGCCACTCTTCCCCTGTTGTCCCAAGCTCTCTGTACTTCACATCAGACACACAAAGGCTTTTCAAATGAAAGCACGATTCCATCATTTAAAGTGGATAAAACACTGGTGTATTTTTTTTTCTTAGCTTTGTATGTGGGAATGGATGAATAACTTCAGCCCAAATGATTCAGCTCCTACCCCAAAATAAGCAATTTCAAACACTTGTTCTGAAAAATATTCACTGAATATTTTAAGTTTAGTGAAGTTGTAAACAGTTTAAAACAGGTTTATGATGGGAATTTTCAGGGAGATTGTCCTATAATAAACATAGCATTTATCATGGTACTGTTATCGAAATCTTTACAGAGGAGGTGCAATGGAGAGAGACATTCTCTTTCCTCAGAACACCAACTCTCCTTGCATTTGGACAATAACGTCATGTGCTCTTGGTGGAAGATGAAGCCTGATGTCTTTATTCAAGACATGTGGGGTGCAGTTTTCTGAGCACAGACTGCCTTCCAGGCTGTTTCTCCTTTTTTTAACTCTGTAGTCTATTCTACTTGTGCAGAAAGTGGTGTACATAGGGTGGAGCCAGAGAAAGACAATCTGTGATCTGGAAAAGCCAAGTTCCATTCACCAGAGGAATTGGAAATGAAGGTGGATGGGAATACAACAGATTTGAACATTTCTCCTTCCTCCTATTTCTGTGGGTGGTGTATCGTGATGGGGGGATTTTTCAGTCTGCCACTTAAATAATCACAGCAGACCAAGTCTTTTTGTGCCTCAAATTTTCCACACAGCCTTTTAACCAAACAGCTTAACATGTTTTTTTATTAATTGTAATTTTGATTAGTCACGCTAATCTCTTAAATAGGGCAATTTGTATGAAAAAAATAATAATTAAAAATAGAGATAAAATGTGATTTTTTTTATACTAATTTATTTGTTAAAACTGAGGCATACCTTAAGCTC